AAGTTCATTGCACAATTATGAAGTGACTTGCAGTATTTGAAAAGCCTTTCTCTTATCTTGGAAAAATTGTTTCAAAAAAGATGAGTGCATTCAGTTCTTAAAAGGATCCTGATAACACCACAAAAAGAAAAAACTTTTGAGAAAGCTATTTTTCTTCCCAAGCAAATGGTTTTAAAATTACTTCTGCAAATGCTTGCATAATCAGTAGAGGGAATATAGAGTTATTAGGAAAACATAGCAAGTATTTCACAATACATAGAAGTACAATATGGTTCTCTAGGAAGAGACAAAGATGATATATTTATGTGAAAATTGAATTAAAGACAAATCTAGAAATTAATTAATCTCTTCCCCCAAGTAAATACCTTAAAAACACTTTCTAGAGCAGTATCAGTCAAAATCACATTGGGATATTGAGATGAACTTACTGCCACTGCAATGGTGATGGGGAAGGGGAGACATTACATTTACGGACTGGCTACTTTGTGTTTTGGGTTTTATTTACATTCCACATTTAAACTTCCCAACAACCTCATAATTGAGGAACTGTTATTTCCATTTTACAGATGAGGAAGCCATGGGTTGAGAAGTTAAGCAGCTTGCCCAACATTGCACAATTCTTCATAATGGTAGTGCCAGGATCCAGCACTGAACTTATTTTTCCAAAGACATAGCTCTTTCCACTATCACACATTGTCCCCTCTCCACCCTTAACTGGGAAGATTTTATTATATTTGAAGGAAATTGTGCATTGAACATAGTTTGGTAAGTATCTATTCACCAAGCTGAGATACAGATTTTGCCTCATGAATAGAAATAACAGTTGATTCCATTTATTTCATGACCAAGAAAGGGAAATTTGGCAAGATGTTTTGGTTGAATTCATATCCTTGCTCTTCTTGAACAGTTTCATCTGGCCAGGCGAGGTGGCTCACAACTGTTATCCCAGCACTTTGGGAGGTCGAGGCAGGTGGATCAAGAGGTCAGGATATTGAGACTGTCCTGGCCAACATTTTGAAACCCCATCTGTACTAAAGTACAAAACACTAGCCGGGAGTGGTGGCACACACCTGTAGTCTCAGCTGCTCAGGAGGCTGAGGCAGGGGAATCTCTTGAACTAGGGAGGTGGAGGTTGCAGTGAGCCGAGATCACACCACTGCCCTCCAGCCTGGGAACAGAGCAAGGCTCCATCTCAAAAAAAAAAAAAAAAAAAAAAGAGTTTCACCTTGGTCTCTCTAAAGCTTTTGGCTATAATAGCATTGATTAATACAAGATGGTTTGAGGACCCAAAGCCTAAATATATTTGACTCTTCTTTCATATTTTTTGTTATTGATTCATATTGACGAACATGGGTTTTTTTAAGTCCAATGTGCCATTCTTACTCATGCTTGTAAGCAGATCTCTCCTTTCTCTGACATAACATTAATGCAAATACTCTCATGTCCACATCTAACTTTTTATTATCTACAATAAGGGCCACCAAACTTTATCTGTGGTGGGCCAGAGAGTAATTATTTTAGGCTTGGCCGGCCACATGTTCTCTGTTTCAACTACTCAACTTGGCTATGAAAGTGAACAAAGCAATGATGGAGAAGAGCAAACAAACGAGCGTGACTGTGTTACAGTAAAACACAGAGCAGGCTGGATTTGGCTCAAGGATGTAGACTGCTCATCCCTAATCTAGAATATACACATTTGTTTACTAGCATAAACTAAAAATCCATATCCCTCTCTGGATTGTCATGAAGAGTTATTTTCTAGTATACAGTGGAAGATGGAGAAATTATAAAGCTTACGTGAGGTCTGAGATATAATTCATATGCAAAAACTGCATTTATTCAAAGTATACAGTTGATGAGTTTTAACAGCGCTTACATCCACATGACAACCACCAATCAAAATACAGAGCATCTTCATCATCTCCAAAAGTGTCCTTGAGATCCTTTGCAGTCCATCTCTGCCTCTGGCTCTGGCCCTAGGTAAGCACTGATCTGATTTTTGTCTCCATAAATTTGTACAAAGTTTCTATATAAATGGAGTGAAACAGTATGTACTCTTTTGTGTCTGGTTTCTTTCATTCAGAATACCAAGTTTGAGACTCATCCATGTTATTGCATGTGTAAGTAGTCTGTTCCTTTTTATCACTGAGTAATATTTTGTTGTAGTGTGGATGAATATATTGTGGGTTGTTTATCTATTCACCAGCTGATGGACATTGGGTTGTTTCCAGGTATTTTTTTAATATGCTATCAACATTTGTGTACAAGCCTTGCTGTGGATATATATTTTTATTTCTCTTTAGATAATTCTAGGAGTTAGAATGATTGGGTAATGTGTTGTATGTATGTTTAATTTTGTAGGAAACTGCTGGTTGTCCAAAGTTGTTTATCATTTTATGTTCTCATAAGAGCACATGTGAGTTCTAGTATCCTCAGTTTTCAGTTGTCAGTCTTCTTTATTTTAGCCATTGTAATAGGTATGCAATCATTTCTTATTGTGACTTTTTAATTTCCTGATGGCTAATGATTTTGAGGATCTTTTTATGTATGTATTGACCATTTGTGTGTCTTCTTTTGTGAAGTGTTTGTCTGAATCTTTTTCTTTTTTAGTATGCTATTTATCTTATTCTTGAGTTTTAAGAGAGCTTTAATATACCAAATATGTCTGTCATATTGTATGTATTGCAAATATTTTCTCTCAACTCCTTTTGTGTATTTTTATTTTTTTAGTGGTGACTTTCAAAGAGCAAAAGTTTTAAATTTTCAGCAAGTCCAATTTGTCAATTTTTTCTTATATTTCTGTTTTTGTATCTTATCTTTGTTATCTTTGCCTGTCTTCAAAGTTGTGACGATTTTCTTCTATGTATTTCTCTAAAGGATTTAGAACTTTAGCTTTTATGTAATGTTCATTATTTACTTAAATTAATTTTTGCGTATGGTATGAGGTAAGGGTCGGGATTAATTCTTTTCTAAATAGTCATTTAATTGTTCTAACACCATTTGTCAAAATGACTCCCCCCTACTCCCATTGGCACTTTTGTGGGGAAAAAAAATCAAATTAACCACATAAGTGTGGGTCTATGTTTTTCTCTGTTCTGTTACATTGATCTGTTTGTCTATTTTTTCTTAAACACCACAGTGTCTTTGTTATTATTCATATATAGTGAATCTTGCAATAAAGTAGTATAAATCCTCCATTCCTTTTGCATTACCTTGAAAATTCTGGAAACTTTGTATTTCCATGCAAATTTTAGAACTAACTTGTCTATTTCTGCAACAAGAAAAATACATGCTGAAATTTTGATTGGGATTGCTTTGAATTTATGGCTCAATTTGAGAAGAATTAACTTAATAATACTGGAGTCTTTCAGTCTATGAGCTGACATATCTCTGCATTTCTTCAGACCTGTTAAAACTTCCCCCAGCAATAGTTTGACATTTTCACTGCAAAGGTTTTATACATTTTATTAGTTTCCCAGGGCTGTTGTAACAAATTAGTACAATATGGGTTGTTTAAAAACAAGAGAAATTTATTCCTTAGTTTAAGAAACCAAAAGTCCAAAATCAAAATGTGGGCTGGGTTGATTCTTTCTGGAAGGTCTGAGGGAGAATCCATCCCATGTCTTTTTCCTAACTTCTGGGATTTCCAGCATTCCTTGACATTCCTCATCTTGTAGACACCTTACTACAATCTCTGCCTGTCTTTTCACATGTTCACATGAGCTTCTCCTTCTGTGTTTCAGTGTCTCCTTTTCTGTCTCTTATAAGGACAGTATCATTTGATTTAGAACCCATCCTTATTCAAACTAAGACCCTTAACTTAATTACATCTGCGAAAACCTTTTATTGCAAAAGAAAACAGGAAAAAGGATTACATTCTAAGGTTCCAGATAGACATATCTTTTAGGAGATTAGATGCAACCTACTACATTCATATTTTTGAAAATTTTTTCTAAGTATTTTATAATAAGTGGATTTTTAAAAAGTATTTTATTTCCCATTATTTGCTGCTAGTATTTAAAAATATAATTGACTTGTGTGTATTAATCCTGAATTTTGGTATTTTATTAAATGCAGTTATTAGCTGTGGTCATTGTTATGTAGATTCCTTTAAGATACTCTGGTTACATGAACATTATGCTGCTACAAATACAGAGAGTTTTACTTCATTTTCTATTTATGCTTTTTTCATTTTTCTTGCTTTATCACAATGACTAAGATAGCAAGAGCAATGCTGAATAGAAGTGGTAAGAGTAGGTGTCTTTGCTTTGTTCTCAATCTTAGGGAAAAATCATACTATAGTTCACTATTAAGTATGATGATGGCAATTTTTTAAATAGAATATCCTTTATCAGATTGAGAAAATTCCCCTGCTCCTAATATGCTAAGAGGTGAGCTTTTTATTTAAAAAATCATGAATAGGTGTTGAATTTTATCAAATAATTTTTATTCATGTATTTAAATAATGATACACTTTTCCTCATTTGTTTTACTGATATCATCAAGTATGTTGATTAATTTTTGAATAATCAAACCAAAATTACATTCCTGAAACAAACCCTAGTTGTTCGGGATGTGTTTTTCTTTTACCTTTTTTTTTTTTTTTTTTTTTGGATACAGAGTTTTGTTCTGTCACCTAGGCTGGAGTGCAGTGGCACAATCTCCAACCTCCACTTCCCAGGTTCAAGAGATTCTCCTGCCTCAGCCTCCTGAGTAGCTGGGACTACAGGTGTGTGCCACCACGCCTGGGTCATTTTGGTATTTTTAGTAGAGACAGGGTTTCACCATGTTGGTCAGGCTGGTCTTGGACTCCTGACCTGGTGATCCGCCTGCCTTGACCTCCCAAAGTGCTGGGTTACAGGCGTGAGCCACCGTGCCCGGCCAGGACGTATTTTTTGTATGTTGTCAGATTTGATTAAAATTTTGTTGGCTGGGCGCGGTGGCTCAAGCCTGTAATCCCAGCACTTTGGGAGGCCGAGGCAGGTGGATCACGAGGTCAACCGATCGAGAACATCCTGGTCAACATGGTGAAACCCTGTCTCTACTAAAAATACAAAAAATTAGCTGGGCATGGTGGTGTGTGCCTGTAATCCCAGCTACTCAGGAGGCTGAGGCAGGAGAATTGCCTGAACCCAGGAGGCAGAGGTTGCGGTGAGCCAAGATTGCGCCATTGCACTCCAGCCTGGGTAACAAGAGCGAAACTCCATCTCAAAAAAAAAAAAAAAAAAAAATTTGTTAAGGATTTTCACCTTTAGGCTCATGCAGAATATTGGTTTGTAATTGTTATGTAATTTATTTGCCAGATTTGGTAAAATAATAAGTTGCCAAGTATTCCCTGTTCCTCTATTTTTTGAAGAATTTTATAAGACTAGTGTCATTTTTTTATTTGACCATTTTGATTCAAATCACCTGTGATACCATTTGGAGCTAAAACTTTTTCTGTGGAAAGGTTAAGATAATGAATTGAATTACTCTAATAAATACAGTGCTATTTATGTTTTCTGTTATATCTGTGTCAGTTTTAGTAAGTTGTATTTTTCAATGAATTTGTCCATTTTATCTAAGTTACTAACCTACTTATTTTTATATATCTAGCCTAGATATTTTCTCTTCTGTGAAATCTTGCCTGACACTTTCAACAAAAGTGATTTCTTATCCTTTGAGTCACTTCCTTAGTTGGATCATTGGTTCTCTCCATCTTCTGTTGAAGTTTGTTTACAAGTCTCTTCCTGTGCTAAATTAAGGGCCCAGGTCAGGCTTAATGGCTCACGCCTATAATCCTAGCACTTTGGGAGCCCATGGCAGGTGGATCACCTGAGGTCAGGAGTTCAAGACCAGCCTGGCCTACAGGGTGAAACATGTCTCTACTAACAATGCAAAAATCAGGTGTGGTGGCGGGTGCCTGTAATTCCAGCTACTCAGGAGGCTGAGGCAGGAGAACTGCTTAAATCTGGGAGGTGGAGGTTCCAGTGAGCCGAGATCACATCACTGCACTCCAGCCTGGGCAACAGAGCAAAAGTCTGTCTCAAAAAAAAAAATATTAAGGGCTCTGGAGTTCAATAATTGCACCTATACATCTTTGAGTCTTTGCCACCTCTTATGGTGCCTGGCACATAATTAGATTACCCCTTTTCCCAAATGTATAAATAACCAAGTTATTCCACTTAATATTGTTTAATGTATAGTGACAAAGCTTGTTTCTAGCTTTCTCAGTAGATTATGTCTTTTACAAAAATGGCATGTAGTGTTTATTGTTCATATTCCTTCTATATCTCACATTTATAATAAATTTAAAAAACTGTTAGATTGAATAGATTTGCCAGACAGTACAGAAAATTAGTATTTTACAAACTCAAAGAGGAGAGGCCAAGTAGAAATCTGAAAAGCATTCACCAATAAAGGGAGGAAAATAACATTGCAAAGTGCTTACTATGTGCCAGACCTTGTGATAAATTATTTATATTCCTTCCCTCATTAATCCCCAAAGTAATTTGGCAAAGAAGATATTATGGTCCCCATTTTATAAATAAAGAATCTGATGTTCAGTAAGATTAAGTACTCTGCCCAAGTTCACAGTTATTAAACAACAGATTCTGGTTTGAAATCTATATTGAATTATCCCATTATCCACATTCTTGATTTCAGTTTTACTTTCATCCATTCAGTTTTCCACAAGACATTTGATGGATTTTCCTATATTACCTTTAAATTTTGCTAGAGTAGAACACTCTGTGTTCCCTCTAATTGAATGTTCCTCATAAATTTAGGAAAGTTTCAAAGTTTTCTCTGGATACTTGTTCTGCCTCTAGCAAGAAATATACAGAAGTAGCAGAGAAGATCCAAACCAGACTTCACTGTCAGAACGGGCTGCATAACTCCCTCTTGTATTCCCACTGACATCACTACTAAAAATACAAAAAATTAGCTGGGCATGGTGGCACGTGCCTGTAATCCCAGCTACTCGGGAGGCTGAGGCAGGAGAATTGCCTGAACCCAGGAGACGGAGATTGCGGTGAGCCAAGATTGCACCATTGCACTCCAGCCTGGGTAACAAGAGCAAAACTCCGTCTCAAAAAAAAAAAAAAAAAAATGGTATTGGCTTTAAAAATCCAGTACCATTATGGTTATGGTTAATGGGGAGCATCATGTTCCTGAGTTCCTACTCAAATAATATAAGGGAAATCAAGAGACCAAGGCTGTGATAACTCAAGCAATCTCCATGGCTTGGTGGTAAAGAAGAGAATCCCTCCTTACAGTTGATCTTACCTTTGTGTATGTCACATATTGGTCCTAATTAGAAAGGTCTATAGGCTAATCTGTGCAAGACACATTCCTTCTCATTACACCATGATACAGGCCATGGGAAATACCAGATTCAATCTTACAGACTCTCTGCTGCTACTAACTAAGAAGCTTCTACTTTTAGTGTCTTTTCTCTCTGAACACAAAAATACTCTGTACGTCACCCAGATTTGGGTTGCCGATAATTACCAGGCTTTTCCCAGTTAGAAATGTGACTCATGTTCCATTTTACCAATCATCTTAGGCAAAGAACTAGCAAGGAAAGACAAGATCAATGTTTTTCTGTAATTCCAGCCTATCAGTTGAAACAAGATGTTTCTGAACTCTTCCCAATGTGAAGAACAGAAAGTAATAGCATTTTGTTTATTTATTTATGTACAATACTGTGGTCAAGAACTTGCTGCTTCCCCAGGGAAATTGTTTGCAATGCATCACTGAGAAGAGGACTTCACAATTCACACTGATCACTCCCTGTGGTCTGCCATGGTGAGGGTGATACTTTCATGTTGTATAAGCACCAGACAAGAGAGCTGGATCAATTCTCTCTCTCGATATTCTAGTTTCTGTTGGAACAACTCCCTTAGGCATCAGCAGCTCTGGGTTCTTTCTAAAAAATAAAGTAAGTGCTCTTAGGTCTGTTCACAGTAAGAGACAAGAAGTCCAAAACGCATCCCTGCCTTTTACGCTTCAGAAATCAACATGGGGATCTTCCTCACTTTTAGGCAACGGATACAGCTTTGTTGTGGTCTGTGTGTCAGATTTCTTGAGAGGAGGACATTGTTGAGACTTATTAATTAGCAATGCTTATGCATGCAAACCTTGGTCAGATGATGTTGTATTTGGAGAGAAGAGAGAAGAGAACAGAACTGAATAAGTACATGACCCCTTGGAAGCTGTTTTCGGTTGAGGATTTTGGTGAGTAGCCACTTGAAATCAAGGGAAATTTGATGAATAGCAGGAGTTGGGAAGAAAGGAAGAGGAGGAAGGATACCACCACTTTTTTCTTCCAGTCTAATACTGTGCTTAGGCAAAGCATATTCCATATGAGATCTACCTTATAAAAACTTGCCAAATAAAGGGAATAGAAGTTAAATTTTGGACTTTCTTACATGGTAGCTTCAAATTGTGGTGACTTTGTTGCATTTCATCTGGATGCTATAGAGGGCCAGAAAATACATTTCTATGAGATCCTAGAATCTGAGCGTGTGCTTTACACAGGATGGACAGAACGAACCTCTGGCAGTTCCATTTATCCAGAGGCAAAAGCATGCCTGCCACCGGAGACCTCTTGGATTCTAACAAAGAACCTATGTTGCCTGAAGAATCAGTGCTTTCCTTACAAGGTACAGCCTTGGCTCCTCTGCCATGAAGGGGAAGGTTCCTGGACATGTGCTTCAGAGACCTTCCTATTTAACCAGGATACAAATTGCATTGTTATGCAATTCCTCTGCTGAGGCCCTGTAACAGGAGTGGGTTAGGACAGATACAGCAAGATATTAGGAAAGATTTCCCCCATTATTCAGGCTGTACAACACGGAAGAAAGAACTTGATTTCAACAAGAAGACCCAATTCTTAACATGCTTTTCTACCTACTTTTACCCATAACGTTTCCAAATTTGGTTCAGATTGTGCAGAGAAACAATAAAATTTTTAAAAAAGGATAAACTGGCTAGTTAAAAGTAAATGGCACTTAATTAAAACTAAGCTTGCAAATTCAGGGGAAAAAAAGCCATGTGATTTTAAACCTTAGGGCAGCATAGAGTGCCACTGTCCTTTGCAGTTTTGAGTGTATTTCATTTGTACCTTGGAAGTAGGTATTTGTCATATTGTTAATAATTACTCTCCTTAATTGTACACTCAGCATTTGGCATCAGAATAATCTTGTTTAGTCACAAGGTTTTCATTTGCTTCTTCATTTTTTAAGCATGCTTCTGAGTGGTGGTTCACATAAGCTTTCAATTTTAAATAACACAATCCATTTATTTCACTAGGCATCTCTATTTGCTTAAAGTGAAGAATCAAAGATTGTGATTGTGTTGTAAATAAGTCTATCCTTTCTTTCCCTTTATTAAAAAAAAACCTGTGGATGCTAAAAAAGAGAACTGAAAGAAATAGAAATCCCAGTAATCTTTTATGAACTCAGTTATTAGAGTAAGTAGAACTAAATCTGTGGGGGGGAAGCAAAGGGAAATGGAAAAGGTGTTTTAGAGCTTTTACTTTTAAGCCACTCCGGAGTCCCATTCTCTGCTTTCTTTTCACTACCCAGACCCATACCTACCCACAGTGAGAACTGAGCCTTCAGGGCGGCTCAGGAGCTGAGAGGAGGGAAAGTGAGGATCTGAGTTATTTTCCTCAGTGAGCTTAAAAGCTTCAGGCAGAAAAGATACTGCCCGTAGAACCTCCCTTTTGCATTTCTCAATTGCATTGGAGAAACTCCTAAATTACATCAGTGACCCTGAAGCCTTTAAAGTAAAGAACTTTCTGTCTTAAAAAAAAAAAAAGAAAGAAAGAAAGGAAAGAAAAAGAGAAAGATAAGGCAAAAAACTTAATTATGCCTGGAATCTTTTGGGGCAGAAAAAACTGACAAGAAACAAACTTTCCTTATATTCTGGTGTGCTGGAAACAGTGGAGGGACTGTTTGCCAAAATGTCTCAGCGGTTCTCAAAGATGGCTGGCCAAATCCTAAGAAAATACGCGTAGGTTCATGTAGTTCTGAGTCCAGCATTGTGTGTAAAGCACAGGTTTCAGTGTAAAGACATCTGCTGTCTGGAAACCAGGTGACGCATGTCATCCTCTCCACATGAAGATTCTGTTCTTTGAAGAAAATTTTGTTTTTAAAGTAAGACAAATATAATTAATATGGTCCTAAAGAAGCAAAGCTCTTCCTTTTTATTTTCATTTCCTTTTGCTTTTGCATTGAAGAGTTAAGACAACATTTCAGCAGAGAAATGTGGAGAAGGGTAAAGGGAAATCAATAAAGTTATTCTGTGACTTTCCCCAGGAGGAAGCAGTGTTAATCGAGAATGGCTTGCTTGGCTATATATCAAGTCCGAGGAGAGAGCAGCAGTTGATTTTGAAACAGATTTCCCAGCTAGACTGGAAGAGATATAAATACATACTTATCTATCATATACATATAGGCGTACATATACACATATACACATTGTACATACATATACCTACATGTATAACTTTTACAAGAATAGAGTCTACGTGTGGTATATACACTATTATAAACATTTAAATATAAATTATGTATATTAAATATATGTGTGCATCTGTGTGTGATTTTAAAATTAGATAAGAATGATTTCTTCAGATAATTGGTAACGCCACACAAAACTCTTCTTCTTCTTTTTTTTTTTTAACTCTTCTAATAATATTTCATATATATTCATCTGGGATCATTTTACATTTTGTAAGTTTCTCTTAAAAATTTTTTGATTGCTAGAGAAGGAAATTAATATGCAACAGCCTAAAGTGACAGACAATGGAATGGAAACCAGATTTCTTGACCGAAGGCCAGTGAAAGCATGTTGACCACAGGAAGTCTTCTAAGGAGTCTCTCTGGGTCATTCCTGCAGTTACTTTCTCTAACAACAAACATTACAGAAATTTTGAGCAGCTCTGATTGCAGCAGAGATCATGAGAGTAAGGTTGGCCCTGGGGTTGCCCAGTTTTATTGGGGTGTGGCACCACGCTCAGTGGAAGCAGTGGTGATTTCTTTGTTGACAAATTCAGACAACATAATTGGGTGGGAAGTTGGCTTCATCATTACAGTATGATCTTGAATCAGTTATCTGTCTTTTCTGGGCTTCAGTTTTTCTTTCTATAAAATGGGATCAATTATTCTTGTCCCTTCACAACACTATACTTTCTTGTGTCCCAAAAACCTTGTCCAATCTTCTTTGTTCCATTAAAGCATCAGGAGATGTGTAGAGAGCTTATTGGGAATCCCCTTTTCGTGACCCAATCTGCTATGATTAATTTCACCATGCTGTGACTCTTCATATTTCTCTTTTCTCATTGTGTATATTCAGACTCTATTTTTTTTCAACATCAGCTGAGACGCTCTATTTATTTTCTAAATCCAAATTCCATCTAAATCATAGTTGTTAAGAACATATTCTTGTAAGAGAATGGAATCTAGACAGAGAGAGAGGAACTATGCAATTCTAGAATTTCCCTGGAGGGAACTTGAGAGTTCATCTAGTGTAATCCTCTCATTTTAAGTTGAGGGAGCTTAGGATCTGAGAGATGAAATGTCTTGTCCAAGGTCACTGTGACAAAGTTAAGTGGAGAACCCATGTCTCTTAACTTCCAGTTCTATATTCCTTCCAATGGGTCATGCGTCTTGGGACCACTATAACCAGAAATAGAAAATGAAGTTGAAGTAAGCAGACCAGACAAGGATATGTCAGCCTTTGGTTTTACCCAGGGCCAGATTCCAACTCTGTGTGCATAACTCAGCAGCAGGACTTTAGCATCTTCATGAAGGATGGACGATTCATGACGAAGACTCTTCTTTGCCGCTTCCTGGCCCATAAGACCCAAAATCTGGATCTAATTGAGCTCTCACTTTTCCTTGTTTATTTTGGACATGATTGTGCTAGCACTTCATCTTATAGCTCTTGAATTTTATCTTCACATCAACTTAACTCATTTATATTCCACATTTGCTGAGAGCCTACTGTGTGCCAGTCATTGATAATGGTCTAGAGATATAGGGAGATATATCTCTTCGTGTCTTAATTATGGTCATAGTGCAACATGTCCCATGTGTGATATGCTTACAGTGCTGAGGGGATGCTGCAGAAGGGGAGACTGAGATCACCAAAAGGAGACAAAGAAGACTGAGCCGATCGTGTGATAATTCTTCTGCTTTTATTCCTCTGTCCTCTTTCTTATCAGGATAGAGTTCATTTTATGCATTGGTATTTTCTAGGGTAATCTCTCCCTGTTTTTAGCAGAAGAGAAATAACGTGTAGGAGTCTTCCCTCATTTCCATGCCCACCTCCAGTCTTTAGCTACCTCACCAGTTCTTCATGAATTTCCTGAAGGCTAATTTACCAGTACTTCAAATAATTCTTACTGCACTCTGGAAAGCAAGGCATCAGGGCTCAGAGATACATGCATATGTGTAGATTAATTGGGGTGAGCATGCTGGTCATCAGTTATTTCCTCCCCTCCTTTGGTTCTCCAATCTGTTTTATCTGTTTACTCTGTTTTAAAAAATGCATTAAGAGACAGACATGATGGTGCTTGGAGACTGAGGAGGGAGGATCACTTGAGCCCAGAAGTTCAAGGCTGCAGGAGCTGTGATCACATCACTGCACTCAAATCTGGGCAGAGTGAGACCTCATTTCTAAAAGGAATAAAAATTACATAAAAAAGACATTGACAGGTAAGACTCCTAACTATTTATTAGAAGCACCCAAATCACTGTTCACATTCTAAACAGAATCTAAACACCAGCCACATTTTTGTTTTATTTTCAAAGTATGTTTCCTCCTTTCTTACCTTTGAATGTTTCTTATTTTTCCATAAATAAGATGTGGATTTGGGTTAACTTAACTATGACAGGAAAGGAAAATCTTCAATTAAAGATCCCTTGTCTATATTTAATCTGTTGATTGGCTTGTGCGCCATAATGCTACAACCTAAATTATATTAAATTTCCAGAAGAGTACAGAATAAACAATAATTTGTAAAGCAACTATTACATGGCAGACATAGTGGTAAGCATGAATAGAATGAGTAGAATCAAAATGAACACAGGTCCTCATTCAGTACATGTAAGTATCATGCAGAGTTAAGCATATAGACCAATGAGCCCATAAATTAGACAGTCCAGAACTTGTTTAGGTAGTCATAATATCACAGTTGAAAGAAGGCTTGGCTGGGTGCAGTGGCTCACACTTGTAATCCCAGCACTTTAGGTGGCCAAGACCATAGGACAGTTTGAGGCCAGCCTGGGCAAAGTAGTGAGACCCCACCTCTACAAAAAGTAAAAACATTTGCTGAGCATGGTGGCACATGCCTATAGTTACAGCTACTTGGCTGGCTGAGGCAGGAGTATCGTGTGAGCCAGGGAGTTTGAGGCTGCAGTGAGCCATGATCATGCCACTGCATTCTAACCTGGGTAACAGAACAAGATTCTGATTTAAAATAAAAATTAAGACAAAATAAATTAAGGCAAAATGAAAAATATTTACCTACCTCCCCCAGATTTTGGAGTGCAGGCTGGTTGCAAGCAAACTGTAGTGGCTTTGCTCAGTGCTGGCCTGGATTGGAACGTGCAGTGGACGTTCTTAAAGGGGAAAGCAGCAGACCCCAGAAAGCAAGCCTGGTCCCTTTGACACGGTTCCTGTGGTCTTCATGTCACTGCTATTTGTGGCATGGAGAGACTCCTAGAGAAGTGTACAATGTGCTGAATTTAAAGTCTCTGAGGTAGCAGTTTCCACCTTTAAAATATTTCTTGGCTTCTCTCCAGGGTGTCCCCTACTCATCTCTCTCCGTTTTAATAGCAGCAGGGATTCTGATACTGCCGCTGCACCTTGGACCCAAAAATATGTCTCAATGTATGTTTCTGTATTCCTTTAATTTTATTTCTGCACAGTCAGCACTTTCGACACACTGATCTATTTTACAATGCTCAAGTCAACTTAATCGCATCTTGTTGAAACTCTTCCTTACTGTGCTGTCATCAGTTAATAATGGGGGAACCAAGATGCACAGGGTATGATTATTATTAATGACACCTCCGGTTTACACAAACCCACTCTTTGAATGAATTCGAGGCGGTTCATACATATTAGCTGATTTTTCCTCACAACATCTAGATTGAATGAAAGACCTAGATTCTATTCTGGGTGCTATATCAACCTTCTTAGGAAAAGGGTTTAGTCATTCATTGCTTCAGTTCCCAACCATGAAACAGGAATCATGATATGAAAATATTTGCTTCTCCCCCTCCTTATCCTAAACCTTTAGAATCTTGGTAGCTAAAAATAAATGTAAAAATCTGAAGTCTGAAAGTGAAGAAGTGTGTCTTGACTTTTTGAATATTAATAAAAACTGTTTATTAATCTATTAATAAATAAATTATTATTTGTTTACAAAGAAATCACCATTGCTTCCAATGAGCATGGTGCCACAGCTGGATAAAACTGGGCAACCCCAGGGCCAACTTCACTCTCACGATCTCTGCTGCAATCAGACCTGCTCAAATTATAAGAGGTGATATTGGGAGTTTGACTGGAAACCCTGAAATTTGAATTTTTAGTTTTGGTGCAAAACTAACTGCGGTTTTTGCCATTAAAGTTTATGGTAGAAACTACAATAAGTTTTGCACCAACCTAATACAATCTAATTCTACTTAGTGGTGAGTCATTGCCCTATCTACTTCTTTGCCTATGTTTTGGAAAATGCTTAGAGATCCGGAGGTGGTGAGTACTACAAAGGGGACCCTCTCTTCTAAAGAGCATTAATGTGGTCAGCAAAGATATCCCTAGGAACCAAGGCATCAATAAGACTCAATGTGAGATGAGAACAGTCTCAAAGCCAGTCCTATTGATGCCACGGTTTCTAGGAATCAATAAGACGTCTCTTTACTCTTCCTCCATCTCTTTTCTTTCCTTCACAACCTCCGGGCTAGCTGTAGTAGTTTCAAAACAATACAAACAATTCCAGACCAAATGCCTGATCTGCATCCTTGCTTGAATATCATCTCTAGGCACTTGGCCTTACAATTGTAATCTTCAAAAGTCCCAGGAGCGAAAAATATGTCTTTTGGTTTGCCAGCCTAAACCTAATGACTGAATGGCAGGAAACCTAGACTGAAATAGCACTTGGCTCTTGGATGACATCCTCCAGCCAAGAATAATGACTTTTATAATGTCAGGCTCAATCCTCTTAGTGCACAGGTAATAGGGAGGGGAATGGTCTCTCTTTCCCTCTGTCTCCTTTTCTCTCTCTGTTTACCCTTTGTTAGACAGAATATTTTCTCTCTCACCTTCCTAAAACCCAAAGGCTGCTAAAATGTACTTCCTACAAATTGGTAGAGTTGGGCCCCAATGCAGTCAATTGGCCATAGATCACCTTCCAGAGAGCTTCACAAACCACCTGGGCCCATCAGATAAGCACCAGCTCTTCTATGGAGTGAGGATGGAAGCCAGGAAAAGTCCTCTGAAACTCAACCAATGAGGTACAAGGAGGCAACAGAATTATTTTATATATTCATATCAATAAATATTACTAAATATATACTGAAGGATTAGCTCAGCACTGACTTCCTCTAATGTCCTAAGATGCTAATGTAAGCATTTTTTTTAACTAGGCAAAAATCCAAGTATTTAGCCTGACACTACTTAGCCTGACACTTGGAAATGACATGGGTTTTGGGTATAAAATCTGCCAGATGATTCCCTTTGAGACCACTTGAGCTAGAGTGCCTGTACCAAACACTGCCCCCTACTGGTCCAGAGTCTCATTGCATTAAGAAAAGGGCTTTGCTGACCAAACAGGACTAAGTAAACTTCTTCCTCTTCCTATGATGACTAGTGAGAAATATTTTTGCCAGTTAGTGAAAGACTCTTGCTGAGGGAATTTAGATCATCTTTATCTTAAGTACATTTAGAGTAGAATGACTGTGGTTGGTTACCCATCCAGCTTTGCCTTGAGAAATGCCAGCAACGCCCCAAAGGATACAGTTTTAGAAACTGTGTTCTAGGTTAACGTAATAAATATTATCCCAGTCTGGTACAGATAGTAACATATTTGTAACCAAACTCAGTCAATGCTGGTGGGAAACAGAATGGAGTCGCTTATATTCCCCTGCCTAACTCTATTCAGAGACAAGAACTGCTCAGATAAAAAATAGGTTAGAAGCTAGCCTGCCAAGGATAGCCATTATACATACTTAAATATTCTTTCATTAGGCACAATAAAGAATTTTGCCTGATATTTCTTCAGAGTATACATTATGAACCCGTAGAGTCATTTAGGTCATATGGTCATGAACCATTTCTATCTTCTCAACCTCTTTTCTGAAATGAGGGCACCTGTGCTGGGTTGCTTATCTCAGATCTGGATGTAGCCACACACTCTAAAGTGTAAGAGCTCTCCTTCCTCACATGTAGCCCAAAATAGTCCCTCACAGCCACGTCACCCACTTTATCACTTGACGTGACCTACTACTCTACAGATTGGAGAGATTTCAGACAGAGCTTGAATGGCTTCAAACAGAAATAGCATGACTTCAGAACCTTCAGGATGAATTAAACAGAGCAATTTTCTAGTTTTCAGAAACACAAACTGACTATAAGTGGGCCCTCAGCCAGAGTACAGTCTTAGAAAATAAGGTGGCAATCCATCATTTATTAAATGCCATGTTTATGTGGCATTTTATTACGCATTTTAAGTGTTATTTAGGCATGAATATTGCTCTCTCAAATGTTGCAATCAAAGCCATCTTAGTGTAAAAATTTATTCTGAAACGATTTGGTGAGCTCCCGCTGTGTAACAGGTGCTATGCCATGTACTGGGAAAACAGAGAGACCCTGTCACAGCCTCTGTCTTTGTAACCTTAGAGTTGGGAGATGGAGGCCGGGTGCAGTGGCTCCAATTTGTAATCTCAGCACTTTGGGAGTCCAAGGTGGGTGGATCACCAGAGATCGGAGTTCGAGACCAGCCTGACCAACATGGAGAAACCCCATCTCTACTAAAGGATACAAAAATTAGCCAGAAACCCCATCTCTATTAAAAAATACAAAAATGTAGCACCTGTAATCCCAGCTACTTGGGAGGCTGAGGCAGGAGACTCTCTTGAACCGTGGAGGCAAAGGTTGCAGTGAGCCGAGATCACATCATTGCATTCCAGCCTGGGCAATGAGAGTGAAACCCTGTCTCAAAAAAAAGAAAGAGTTGGGAGATGGAGTAGCATAGTATATAGATGATGCCAGTACTACAGCATCACTTCCTGTCCTCTGGCTAAAGAAATTTCACTGTCCAGCACAGTACCTGACATATAGTTAAGTAGTCAGTACTTGTGTAATAGGTAAAAATCAGCAAAATGAAAACCATGAATGAATGTTAAGATAATATAAGCATAGGGTGCTATGGAAAATGCATGGGAGAAGAAACTAAACCAGTTTGAGGGGACTAACTGCAGAAAGTGTCACTTACACTGAGACAGGATTCAAAGGGTATATTGATACAAAGGAAAGACGGTGAATTAGACCTGGGTTCAAATCCTAGCAGCGCTACCCATGAGCTGGGCAATTCTAACTATTTCGAACCTTATTTTCTGCATCTGTAAAACACTAATGATACCGTTTACAGGCTGTTTTGAGGACTAAATGATATATTAGTTACCTGTGTCTGCCACAGAGAAGGCCGTCCATGATATGTATTAGAGGTGTCACAGAGAACAGACTGCAACATGAAAGCAATACATATCTAAGTAATAAGGTTAAGGGCAAATATTTTAAAGGACAAATAGCAATAATAACCTTAAAATCATGATGGAAATAAAAGAGAGATGCTACAACAGTTCTTAACCCCTAAGCCCAGACAAGAGTGGAGGGAGGCAAATGATTGATAGGAGTTTGCCATCCTCTTCCAATCCATTCCAGAAGGCTTTTGTATTTAGCTTTCAGCTGCAGAACTGTGTGGCCCTGCCTGTCCCATTCATGGTATGGTAAATACTTTTCAGATAATCAGATAATCTTAGGGTATCGTGATTTAATTGTTCATCATGGATGCTTGATACAATATATGTGTGTGTGCATGCATGCGTGTGTGTGTGTGTGTTGATGTATGGCATTTTCTCTGTAGGTTTTTGCCACAATTAGCTTTCATTGCTTTTACTCTAAATATTTTCAAGTATACCAGATTCCTTTCTTCTTCTTCCTTCCACCTGCATGCATCAGGCCCTTTCTTGCTACATTCACACAGTTAGGTCATTGAACACACATATACACACCTGCTCTCTGCTGGCTTCAACTCTTTTTAGGTGAGATTTTAGAACATGCTTTGAGATGCATTGGATTGTCAGATATATTAAATGTAATGCAGGAGAGGAGAAGGGGAAGATGTTAACAGCTGACTTTTGGTTTGGGTTTTCAGTCCGTGATATGAGACAGGACATGGCAAAAGAAAAAGAAAGTGTCAAGCAAGAGAATGAGAGGGGCCAAAGAAGAGAGGTGGTGGCCAGACCTGAAGGAAAGAACAAGACATAAAAACATTTAAGTTTGAAAGGGATAAAATCTGGAAAAGGGAGAACTAGTGGTGTTTAAGATTCTGATGGGGGAGGGAAAGCCATTGATTGGGACTTTGAAACCATGCCAGGAACCAAGAGCCAGTGGTAGTGGCAGAGGGGACGGCCAGGTAGGACAATTAAAACGGAAATCTGGCTCCTTACAACACAGCATGGAGCGGGGCTACAGAATTTGCTGCAGTGGGAGGTGGGGCCAGTCTGGCACAGTCTGTGGGTTTGAAAGGAGCTGGGCGGGTTGGAGAATGCCAGTCAGCCTTTGTAGTTCTGAGCTCAGAGAGGGGGTGACAAGTACTAGGCTTCAGGTCAGAAGCCTGGCTTGGGTGGCTTTTGGAGAAATTTTTCCTTTGCTCCCAAACTCTTAAAAGGTACTTATCACACCACTGGCCTCCAATCACAGCGTAAGCACGTGTCCCAAAGGCCGTCCTCCAGCAGAGATTTCGGCAGTGGTACCTGTTGGCTGGCTCATGGGGTCCTTTCCTTTTTCTATTCCCTGGAAGCCATCAACTGGACTGAATACAACATCTTTGCATCTGTTTCTTCACCCTCCTCACATGCTTGCATCTCCCAGACCCCTAAGGTTAATTCCCAGGACAACCTTGCTTTGGAAGAAAAAATGTGGTGAGCCTACTTGAAGATTTGGATTCCAAGAGGCCTCTGTCTGTCCTGCCTCAGCCAGAGCCGGACAACCAGCTCAAGGAGATGAGCATTTGCAGAGGAAGCAGCAGTAAGTTTTTGTTGTTGTTATTGTTTGTTTTCAAGGCTTGGTTGTTCTCCAGAATTAGGTCCCTGAAAGCATGGGGCTTTCTTTTCCTTTTTTCCCCGCTTTCCTTTCTTTTTGATTTTCCTTCTTTCTCAGCAAAAATTAATAATACCCCCTTCTCCTCCTGGGAGTGATTCATAAAAGCAATTAAATTGGAAAGTTGATTCTTCATCACTGCTCGTAACCTGGGTTAAAGATATCTGAGGTTGATCTGTGTGTGCCTATTCTCAACACTGTAATATTTTAAAGTGTATGTGCATTTGTTGTAATGATTTGTGCTGATGGTTCTCCTCCAGAATAAATGCTATGTAACTGGCAGATAGATTGTCATTATGCTGCATTTGTCCCAGGACTTGCACAGATATCTTCTTTGGGGTGTTTTGTGCATATTTGCTGCTCATAAGAGAGAAGGATAGAAAGACTTTGGAAGGAGGGTGTGGTCCAGTGGATTCAGCTTCCTCCCAGCCCATCACTGACTCCTTCTTCCTGCTCCTCCCTTTCCCTCCACTTCTATCCCTGTTCCTCAGATCCAACCGGAGCCAGCTGTCAATGAAATACCTTCTGCCTTTCTTTTCTATTACAGCCTGGGTTAGACTCTGTCAGGTAGGAAACTACTCCCCATAATCAAACTCATTATGTTTGTGATCTCAGCATATTTGCAAACTTAGATGTAGACCAGACAATAGCATTTACCCTCTCTGTTTCTCCCATCCTGGGATTTTTAGCCAAGGTAATAATAACAATAATAATACTGCATTTAGAAGGCCTCTAGCATATTTCATCTTCTGAGAGTCTTACAGATGTTAACTAATTAATCTTCACAACACTCCATACAAGAGAGGTAAATATTATTAACCATGATAGAAGATACATATGTATATGCTAAGGACAGCAAACTAGTTCACTTATTTATCATGGTTCACTTGATATAGTAACTGGTATTTTTAAAACACCCATCATAGATACAATAATTAGAGATGTGCTTTTGTTAACAAAGCCACTACCCACTTCTAGCGTACCCTTGGGTACTAAATAATTACCCACTTTGTGTGGTTATCTAGCTCACTAATTACCCACAGAAATTGGGGTCAGGTGTTAACTGCTTGAAATAAGTATCCTCCAAAGACATCGCTGAGTTGTATAGAGAAAATGATGTGTTCATAGCAAAACTTTCATAAGCTGTATGTTTGTGTATCTTTGTAAGCAGAGTGAATGCAGGCAAGGACGAATTAGCTTATTATGTGAAAATCATGCTGAACTATTGTTGCAAATATAGAGAAGCTTAAAAGAGTCTCGGGAAATCTCATCCTCTGTTTACCTTTCCTTTTGAAGATGGGTGCAATGACATGATTCCCATAATCTGGCCTTCATATAGAAGTACACTAAGACAATTGGTGGTTCTGGTTAGGAATGATTCATTTTGGTGTACAGGGAGGCACCCAGTGAGTCAAAGACTTTTTTTTTTTTTTACAGCTCCACCCTTCATGATTATTCTAGCTTGTTTCTTTTTTCTCCATCAGTCTAGTGAAAACACCCTGTTAGCCAAATCTGAAAAAGATTCTAACCTAGTCACCAACTCCTGGCAGCCACCTCTTTCTCCTCCCCAGTAATGACAAAAAAGAAAAAAAAGTATTACAAAAATCCAACACTCTCTTTTCGCCTTTGGCTGTTATGCTCTCCTTGCCTTTCCTCTCTACTTCTCTCCTCTCCCTTCTTCCTCTCTCCGTATCTTCTTATTTCTGCATTTTCTTCTCCTTTTTCTTGGCATCTAGGCATGCTTTCGTAGGTCTCACGGACAGAGACAAAGCATAATTATGTCTGAGTTGAGCACAAAGAAACTACCTTTTAGAAACATTGACTTGGAGGAAACCTCAGATACCTTTCTCCCTTTCCTTGCTATTTACAGAATCTGACATTGTATTTAACACCAGAACTGCCTGTTGTCTGCATGACTCTAGCCGGGAAAACTAGGTTAGAATGGCAACATACCCACTGTGTATACAGATAGGTAGAGACCCTAATTTTCAGCAGGTCCATACTTTCCATAGCAGAGTTTTAAAAATGAATGCCAACAGAAATGATAGATGCTCCCCCAATCAACTTAGGTGTCTTTCTTTTTTCTTGTGCCTCTTTTTTATCATCTGAAATATTACTTGTCATTATTGGGTGACTTGAGGCTGATCAATGAAGTGTATATGTATCTGTCCGATATTTGAAGAGGAAAAACATGCCTCAGGAATAAGGAAATGTCTGCAGTGAAAGCAAAGGGTTAGGATGAGCTTCAGTGACTGATGAATTCATTTTAAAATCCAAGGGCACATAAACGGTAAATTAGTACATATTGCAAATACAGTCAACGAGCAAACCCCAGCCAGGGAAGGAAGGAAAATTTCAGCACTGTAGACATCACATGCCTGAACAGAGTGTCTACATATCTTAAATGTAGATCTGAATCACTGCTCTTTGATCCTGCTAAATGCTGATTGCAAAGAAATGTTTGGACATTGTTGACTTTCTGTCCATAAAGAAAAGCCACCAAGATTCACAAAATCCATCACCTGCACTCATCCACGCACGTGTGCTTTAAATTCCCCTAGGATGTGAAACAATTAGGCAGAGAACTGCACTGTGGTCTCTCTTCTTCACCTCTTTCCCTCCCTGTTTTTCCTCTTTCGAAAATGTGATACCTGATCTCTGGGTCTAGCAGGCTGAGAAATTTTTTGTATTTGTATGATACAGTGTCTGGCCTTCCCCCTGACCTGCTGATGTATTTTTGGTCTCATTAGTAGTAAGGGAGATGCCTTAGTGCATCCAGCACTGCGAGTCAGGGATGAGACACACTACAACAGAGAGAGGGAGCAAGCGCAAGAGGATATTAGAAGAGAGGCTTGTCTCCAAGATATGGAAGGAAGTGAGAAATGACAGGGCTGCAAGCTTTGTATGTAGGAGCCTGGCAGGGCGGGGGAGCGGCGAGGAGAGCCAAGTGGATTCTCAGAAAAGGGGGGAAACCATCTAAGAGCTAAAGGTGATTAGAGGGGGATATTGATTTCTTATTCTGCCAGAGATTTGAGCAGGCATGCGAGGAATCTGCACCATGGTTGGCAAAAGTAGACCCGTTGCCTCCTGTAACCAGACACTCGGGCTTTCCAGGAGCCCAGGGAGCAAGCCGAGAAGAAAGGGGGCAGTGTGGTCTAGGAAAATTCAACTTGTCGCTGATTTGTGCCTGATGCCTGCTGTCCGTCAGCAGCCTCCCTTACAATCTTTTTTTCTCTCTCTCCCTTTTTTTTCCCCTTGCCTTCTCCTTCTTCACTGAAGCCTAGGGGAGCCAGTAAAGATTAAATGTGCTTCTCAAAGGCAGCCACTTCATGCTGCTATGTCGAAAGGGCCATTATTATTATTATATTTTAATAGTAAAAGAGAAAGGGAGAGAGGTTGAGCCAGCAGCGAGTGAGAAGCTAGGTGTGATTATGACGGACTAGCTTTTCTGAGAGGAAAAGGAAAAGGGAAGGGAGAGAAAAAGGAGAGCCCCTGAGCTCAACGGAGGATTGTGCCTGAGAAGAACCTACAGAGGTGAGAAAAAAGTTGTCTTGAAGGTGGGGGTGGGGGTGGGGGTGCTAAACAGACCCTGTACAGAGGGAAAAGAGACATAATTTAGCTGCCTTGCTAGCATGATTCTATTTTTAAAGGAGGGGAGGGGGAGAGTCTGGAGCTCTAACTGTTTTTAGTTGCATATGGAAATATCTAAAAAATATTTAGAATTTTTACTAAGTGCGTTGAGGCCTCTCCAGTGTCTTCCTGGCTGTGGCTGCTTTGTCATTCTGTTTGACTAGCCAGCCATCTACCTTGCTCAGGCCTGGAATAAAAGAAGAAAAACAAAAAAGGAAAAAATGAAAAACAGAATGGAAAAGGAGAAGAAAAATTTGAAAAAGGGTCATCTTCCCATCTGCCTCCCCTCCCTTTCCTTTCATTTTTGGAGGCAGCACGGAAAAGCCCCACTTCCAGTCTGATGAGGAAAGCGACCATCTATCAGATACAGAACCAGGGGCTGTCTGCGAAGATGGAGGGGAATTATGCTTCGGATTCCTCTGAAATATTGGCTAAAGGCTTCAAAGAATCCGCAGCGGGAGGTGCGGGGGGAATGTCTCTCCCCAGCCCGCACCCAGCCCTTCCCACTTCGCGTCTACCAAATGACAGCCTGGTGCTCGCTCTTGGTGATTTGGCCTTGACTTCAGCCAAGCAGCTGATGCAGACGAAGCCTCCGTTTGCAGGACTGGCAAAGTGCACGCTAAAGAAAGAAGGAAGAAATTTTTCAAAAAAGCAGCTCTGGGGTGATTTCTTACTCCCCCCCGACCCTTTAAAAAAAAATTTAAGTGAATATTTTCCAAATTTGATCAGTTCCAGCCCCTCCCTCCACTCCCACCCAACTGCCCTTTTTTCTCTCGTCAAAGCATAAGCTACAGAGTTACAGTCTCGAGATTTGGTGTATCGCTTCCTGCCCCCGCCTCCCCTCCCCGCCCCCGTTCTCCGTCCTCTATTGAAACACCTCGCCCAGCCTAGCGCACTGAGAGCTCACATTTCCCCCCCTTGCTCGGGATGGTGCCACGGGAGGCTGTGCGGGCCCCGCGCCGCTTCGAATGGGTGAGTTGAGAACGCTATTCGTATTCACACTTCCATAGCCTCTGAAGCCTACTTCTCGGTCTTCTCCTTCTGAAAACCCGATTTCTATGATTTTTTGCATGCGGCATGCTTGCCCTAGGGGAAAGAGATGCCTCCTATTTCCTCTTCAGTCATTTGTGCTAGTTGTAAATTAAAGCTTTGAAGAGACGTTAAGTCCTTATCGTAGACTGTGGTTTTAAAAACTTGGGCATTTCTGGGTCTATTCATATTATTTTCCATTTTAGTCAACTATGTTGCCCAAAGCTTGAAAGAGTTTTTCTCTGATATACTCGTGATTGTATCTGTGTGTGCGTGATTGTATATGCGATCCCAGACACTGCGTATGCGTGTGTGTATTATGCTTAAATGGACTCTCAATTTTGCGAAGGAAGGGAGCTTACACAGGAAATACCATACCACCTGTTTGTTGCATTTTAGTAATGAACCTCGAACAGAAATTGCCTGTCATTCTCGTTTTGCTTTGTTTTGTCTCAAGAAAGAAAAAAATTGTTGCGCTCCTCTCAGTCCCTGAGACCCTAACTTGTGATGTTTACCGTTTAAATCCACGGGTTAGGCTCTTGGGAGCTGCGAGTCGTGCTTTTGCATCCCGGAAATTTGGTGGAACTTTATTCTTTAAAGCAAAAACAAAAGAAAAGAAAGTTTGTCTGAAGTGATTGAGTATACCTCTGAGGTTTTCATTGTTAGATGGGATCAGGTGACCAGAGAGTGGCAGCTCCTGGATTTCTGTTAAAGTAGGTATATATTCTGCTTTAATAGCGGGTTGGCTGCTATGTATATGTATGTATGTTACTGATGCCTGAGGCTTGTGGAACTCATCTGCATGGTCTATTCCTTGAGAGCAACACGCAGTAGTATACGAGCGTAACAAGAACAGCTCAGTACCTGGTGCTTGACCTCAGAACATCTCAGCTGAAGTCCCAGCATGCCCCATGCCTCCAACTTTCAAACTCCACAGTTAATCTTAAAATTGTGCTCAATTAAAATGGGCATGTGAATATATTATATATTCCGTGTCCACACACGTGTATCATGGATGGCTAGACAGTGAACACATAGATGCAGATAAAGGCAAACTAACAGTTTGGACTAAAATATTAATAGGTTAAAATTCTATTCTTGCTATTCCACACAAAGGATGGAATTTATGGCATTAATAACAATTAGGTTTGTATGACTTCGCAAGATATTTTAGAAATAAAAGGGGATACTGCCTCCTTGCTCGGCATCTTTTACAAAATATACTTTATGGATGCAAAAGTGATGCAGATGGGAAATCAATCTTCTAAATATGTAAAATGAAAGCAACAACAACAGCAAACACAATTATCCTATTCTTGGGGAGTAACAAATACTGTTTTTCATTTTAAAACTAAGAAAATTTTATCAGTACTTAAATTCAATCCAGAAAAGGTTTTATAACAACCAAACCATACATGTAAAAATATCCTTTCTTAAGGTAATGACAAGCATTACCTAGTTTGTAGTTTTCTTGAGCTGTAACTTTTGATAACTGAATAATTTCAGTGATTTAGGTCTGTCTTATAGTTGGTGAAGAGAAACAGTAACTTACCTTTCCTTTGTTGTGAAAAATTCTGGTATAAATTTTTATTTAAACCATTTTCATATTCTTGAGCCAACATTTCTCTTCTATGTTTGAAAAATACCTAAATCAACCCCAATCCAAATGCTTTCTTCCTCTAAAGACTATATTTGTTGTAGCCTTGTTTTATACGTGTAGTTGAAGATTAGGGAAACTGTTCTTTGCCTGTTTTTTTTTTTAAGTGTTTATTGCAATTTTAAGTCCTTGATGCCAAATTGCAATCAAGAAACCATTTTGTATCAGAAAATTAAATTGAGCATATGAACTGTGCAACAATTGCACCACGTCTTTTGTTGAAACCTCTTGTGTAGTAATATTTGAATATTACTTTCCAGCCTTTGATAGTCCGAATGTGCTTCAAAGAAAATAGTTATTTGATTTTTAAGTCATTGTTAGTTTATATTCAGTGGTTTAATGACTTCCCCCATCTTAGCTGATGTGTATGCATAGGTATTTGGAAATTACAGTAAGGCATCTATTTAACTTACGGATCCATATTAACACATTATTCGTATCAAATATTTGAAAAACATTTGGTGCTTTTTGAAGTTAAAATATATTTGCAGTTTATTCTATGAAAATGTATACATGGATCAATAAAAACATGCCAGATGTAATTCTTCTGTGATTTTCAATGATAACAGGGTAGTAATTTAATACAAGTGTTTTAGTTTGTATTTCAAGGCACTCTCAGGTTTGTACATGTTTTCAAGTGGATTGCTCATGTTCGGAGGTTGCTATCATACAACTGATCACCCAGGCATTTAAGAGTGCATAACGACACGAGATTTTATATTTCAGCAGGCAACTGCTTCAGTGCAAGGGCAGGTTTCTCAACACCCCTTCTTCCTCACCGAGCCCATCAGTGAAGTTCAGTGAAATGAATAACATAATTGGTGGTTGGTTCAATCACTACCAGTCTAGACTAGCCCAGACGCATCAATTAGAGGGGGCTGTCTTTTAAAGGGAGAGTGCAACCGAAACAAGCAGGGCATTATTGATACTGATCTTTAAAAGTGCAAATCCAGCTTGGCAGATAAAAAAAAAAATAAGGCGGGGAATTGGGGTGGGGGTTCGTTGCAGGAAGAAAAGAGAAAGAAGTGAACTGGAGCTTTCGGACACAGAAGGACAGGAAGCTTGAGAGAAAAGGAGAGGATAATGAGTGAAATGCAATGCAGCACCTCCTTGGAACACACAGTTACAATTCAGTTCACAGGGCACACTGGTTCACCGTATTTTTAACTAGACTCTCTCCCCACCTCCTTTTTAAAAATTCCTTTTTTACCTCTGTTTCCAAAGAAATGCCAGCTAAAAATTAAGGCAGTTGGAAATGTAACAGCTCTAGGAAGCTCTAGTGAGAATAAAGTCAAATAATATGAACCAGCCAAAAGCCCTTTTGCAACATTTTTCCCCAAAAGAAAAATACAGAAGATACTTATTTTCAAGTCTTTAATTCTACCTTAAAAAAAAAATTGTGTACTAATGAACAGTATTCATTTTAAATCTAGCACCTGGGAATTAATATTATAGGCAAAACACCTTTAGGTAAAGAGCTCATAATTTTCCGTTGAATACAGTAAAATTGTAAAGAGTGTAACAAAGGCTTTGGTAATTTGGTAGAGGGGCTTTTTGATGAAAAAGGGCAGATGATTTGGAAAGTGTTAGGAACACATCAAGCCCCAGGGAAAGAAAATGTTTGATTGGTATTAATTAAAACACTGCTAATATATTCTAATAAAATCAAATTTAACATTCTACACTAATCCTCCTGGTATGTCAAAGGAAAAGAAAAGTATTATCTTATTTGCATCTCTGCAATCCAAATGCATTTGCTCATTCAGCAGAATTAATTTTTATCAGCAGCCTGTTTAATCTCCTCACAGATTTAGTCAAACTTATTCTTTCAAACTAAAAAGCATCAGGGTGGGGAATCCATGGAAGGTATTGGAAGGCTAGTGACTGTATTTAGTGCTGGCTTTATATTTTACGATGTTCTTTCTCTTCATTCGCTATAATGGGGTGTGGAGGGAACCGGTGAGACCGCAGTGAGAATGATGAATGGTTCATTTTTCCTCTTTCTCTCCTTCTACCTGCCGGGCTATTTAAGAATTTCAGTTGCCAAATTATACGAATGGCATTTATTTACATGACTGGTGTTAGTCTGTTGATTAATATCTAATGTTTTTCTAATTTCAGACTTTATTTTATTGAAAATTCCTAATGAAAAAGGCTCTTAAGCCAGAAACCAATTACCTTTTCTCAGTTTTTCCAACTGTAGATCTAAGAGAAAGTGGGGAAGTGAATGTAACAATTTTATTCACTAAAAACTGACTTCTTTGTTCCATTTTCAAGTCAAAATTTCTCCAGAAAAATGTCATATTTTTATGAAACAGCAAGTTTTATGTTCTTATTGTTAAACTCTCACAACTGATAAAATTATCCCGAAATGGCATCATAACCAAAATGCTTCTCCTCTCATTAGTCTACCATGACTATGATATCTTATGTAAATATGTGACTAACGAAAAAAAAATGAATGGGCCATAAATACTGAGGACCATATTTGTGTGTTTCCAAAGTGAGGGGTTCTGCGTACTATCAAGGAGATATAAACTACTGGCTACGCTGCTGATGATGCTGCCTTTTTGCTCCATCGCCTTTTCAAGTCTTCAACGTAAAAGAGCAATCGCAGTTCGGTTTCACATGTATTGTTCTATAATCCAGGCAATAAATGCTAATTAGTAATGCTCAAGGATCCGACCATTCAGAGTAATTATCATAATTTACTTCTTCCTTGTTAAAGACATTCCTTGCTGATTAGAAAAAAAATTAAATCGTCGTTTTACCATTGCACTGCGGTGGAAATGCGCTAGAGAGATGTTCAAGGTATAGTAACACTTGCGGTTGCATTGCAAGTCACCGGCCGGTGCCTCTTAGCTTATTCCAAATGGAATCGCAACTTAATTTCTAAGAAGAAATTCATGTAAATGCATAAAGTTTGGCGTGTAGAGCAGGAATATATGATTTTATTTTACAAACCGAGGGCTCCACCTTCCTGGCCCACCCTCTTTCTAAAACCACGTACTGAACAGAACAAAGGAAACTGCTAACTATAGAGGCATCATTAAGTGTGAACGGCAACAGCATGATAAAGTGTGTGATATGACAACATATTTCATTGCACAAAAGTGCGGATAATTAAATAATTCAATAGTAACCTTGACTAATTAGCAGAAAGATCTTTAAGGAGGAATCAAGAAAATGGATCTGATCACCTTGAATAATGTGGTTCGTTCTCCAACATCACAAATTTATTTTGGTTATTTGATGATTGATTAACTCATATAGAAAGATGAAGACAAAAGCCTATTTCTCAAAGCATAGCTTTGATCTGGTGTCCTCTTTAGGACAAATTAATCATATGTTTTAGAAGTGCTGAATTTAATGTAGGGCTTTCTGTTTTTAGTCAAAGATAAAATCTGCCCTTCTATTGAATATTTCTCTTTTATCGATTGATCTAAGAATTTATCAACCCTTAGCTTTTTATATCATTGCCTCAGAATATAGATGTAGCCTAGTCCACATTTTCTAATGAGTCTCTTGTTTAAGTTTGTTTCTCGTTGCTGGAAGCAAATAAATATCATGGGCACAGAAGGAATAGAATAAATAACCATGCTGAATATTATATATGGTGAAACCCTTCCCCCTTCCTTTATCAAGGTAATATTCCCCGTGTTCATTGTTCATTGGTCCTTTAAGAGAGAGCTTTAGCTTTTACTTGAGGGTTGTAAGCACATTAGAGGAATAATTCCCTTTGGATACTGTACAGAAGGAGCCACCTGCAAAATGTTGATGCTGTTATTGAAGTCTCAAGTGGAATCAGCTTTCAAAAAATTAGATATTAGATACATCCGATATAATTTGCAATGTGTAATTATACTAATGTGCATATAGTTGTGTGTTGCTTTACATGTTGCCTACTTGAGTTTTTTTTTCTTTTCTTGTGCATTTCTCATAATTTGAAATGGTTCCTGAGTAGAATGTTTTTAAAATAAGCTTATTTTAAAAAATTCTTTGTTAATTAATATAGGAATAAGAAGACTCTACGATCTGTGTTCTTATGCAAGAATAAATATGTGTGACCTAGATGTTGGAAATTAATAATTTCTAAAAGTGTTATCACTGTGGACACTTGCTTAATTTGTAGAATATTTGTTACTCTTGATTGATTTAGTCTTTTTCCTGACTTTAGACAACTTGAAATAATGGAGAATTTTAGGATAGCAAATGTTATTCATTTGTTTCAAGAAGAAATTCATTTCCTTTGTTGGAATAACAAAATCAAATGCCAGGGAAATGACCTTAGGCAGAGATAATAATTTTAATTTATCCAGATTAATCAAAACAATAACAATAATAAACAAGGTCTTTTATTGTTTTTCACTGTTTTGCATGGCACATGAAGAACACTGAAACTCTGCCTTAGGTTATTTATGCACTAACATCAACTTCCCTTTTGACATCTTGACATCATGCCCAAGGTCTGCTAATGGCCTCACTGGAGTGCCTCATTCCAGGGAACTGAGCCCTGAAGATCTACCTATTAAGGAATAACCCAGGCATAGCAACACTGAGTTGGTTGGTCAGCCTGGTAGTTGGTTCTTACCATGTGCTCAGTAGGTGAAGAGGCTCTTGATGCAAATTTGGAGAATCGTTACCATCAGGTCACAGAGAGACCCTGACCAAGGCAATATAAGGGTCTCAATTTATGCTTATGTGTTTGGAAGACAAAAATAATTCTAAGGGAGTCTTATATTGAGATGATGCAAGATATGACTCATTGCAATTGAGTAAGTATACAGCCCAAAGAAAGCTGATTTGTAAAACAGTAGACACCCAGAATATGGTCATTCACATGTTTATACTATCTATTTCTCAAAATTTGTTTAAATAGTGGAGTCCCTATTACAAAAGAGATATTTTGTTTAATGTATAGCTACATAATACCCAACCAATACAAGGTTTACTTTTCGCCTGCTCATGTATTCAAGGACTTTCCATCATTAGGTATCCAAATGAGCCACAAAAAAAGTGTGAAATGTTATTCCTTAATACATAACATTTTAATTTATTTAAAAAATGAGTTTTACAAATATGTATCAAAAGCTTAGCACCCCATCATCCCTGTCAGTGTTCACAAAATAATAAATTCTAAAATCTTTATGATGTATATTTAATTACTCATCCAAGATCAGTTATCACAAGCTTAATTAGAACAGAAAAATACCTATTAACATTTAACACTTACTTATTTTACAGATTAAAAACATATCATACCTGCCATCTAGAGAGCCAGCATCCTCAGTGTATCCAAAGTGATTAGCACAAAAAGCAGTGATGTGTCATAGTGTACCCCTTTTGGTGTGCCTAATTTATTAGACACCTTCATTGTGTAAGCATGATAAAGAGGTTGATGATAAGGTCTTCAGTTCAATTAACATCTACCTGCAAAGTATATTTTATTCCTAACAAGTTTTGTAAATTCAAAAAGAGAAACATTAATAACAACTCTTCTCAAATACTTTTATCTTTAAAATGCATGGGTTGGATTACTTGGGCTCTAAATTCTTTTACAGCTTTAAGAATTTTTGAAGCTATTCTAAAGTATGGAGGCATAGGAACAACTCCAGGACGCATGAATCCAGAGCTCATTTGTTCCACCAGTTGCCCTTCAAAGTTATATTTGATTACACCTCCACGTTCCGTATTTACTAACATATTTTGCATTGATGCTAAAACAGTAAAGACTGGAGTTCATTTTCAGGAAGGGGCAGTGACAGAAAAGAAGAACAGCTGAAGAATGAAAAAAGCTACACAGTGGGAGAAGCAAATTCTTGATCTGAGTTCTAAGCCCATTTATTTCAATTAACATTAACACATGAGAAACCCTGACAAGCACCTGCCTTTCTATTTTAAGGCTATATTCTTTCGTCCTGCCTTCCTTTAATTTCTTGCGGTATGGTTTGTTTTTTTCCATTGGATTAACTTCTTTGAGTTTCACATTTTTCCTTCCACTTGAATCATCTTAATATTCCTCTCAGAAGCCTACAGGAATTATATTAACACATCATACTTCCCAAATTAAATCTTAACATGTTCGAAGCCACCTGGAAATTGCCCTACCCCAATTTCGAAAACCACTCAGAATGTGTAATCTCTTCTTGAATTAAGTGAGCCTGTTTTCTCTGGCTTCCAAGTCATTGAATATGCTCGTACACTGCTTTTTCTTTCTGCATAATCTGTCTCTCCATCTCTTCTACACTTTGGAAATCTTCTTTATTTTTCTTTTTCTCTCCATCCTTCTCTTCTTTTTTTGTTCTCGCTTCCCTCCTTCCTTTCCTCCCTCCCTTTTTTTCAATCTTTCTTTTCTTTCTTTCTCTCCTTCCTTCCTTCCTCTCTCTTTTTCTTTCTTCCCTCCCTCCCTCCTCTCTTTCTTTTTCTTTTGTTTCTTTCCATATCATGTTCTGTAGCAGGCACTGGGAATACAAAGACAAATCCAAGGCATTGACAATACCTAACAATTCTAGTGACTTCACTCAGCGCTGCATTGCTAAGCAGTTATGTACCCACAGCTATCTTACTTTGCTTTTACTCCTGGGATTTATTTGAATGTGTCCTCAATGTCTTGTGTTCTTTTGTTTTTTCCCTATGTGTCCTATTTCAGTAAGTTCCCTGTTGGATAAACCTGAAGCTTTTCTCCCAGAAAGAGCTTAGAGTGGTGTCTCACACACACTCAGGCAATGCCATTGCTGACTGATTCTTTAGGGAGGGGAGCAATGTAAAACAACGGCATTTTTCTAGTGATGCAGGATTTCATCTGTAGTTAGACCTAGTACGGTCCCCAAAGAATCATTACATTTATTTTTTTTATTGAAGAGTCAATGTGATAACTTTCTGTGACATGTTCTGTTATTTTTTTAGTTGTGTTGATGTTCCTTTCAGCTGGTCCTATAGTCCCCCTCCTCAGGAATGTCTCCCCAGTACAAAGACAAAGACTGCAGAGACTGCTATATTGATGGACCATCAAGCCAACTATGAAGTTGAAACAAAGAAAGCGATCACCTGAAGACACCTCCTCTGCTAAGCAGCACCCACAAATTGTGCAGCTTCAGCCACTAGGACTCTCAGAACAAGAGGCAATCTTTTCAAGAAACAGAAAAACTCAATCATGACATCTAGATTTTCATGAGCCAAGAACTTTCCCTTCCTCATGTGTATTCCTCTGTTTGTGCTTAAATTCATGTGCCATTCATTTTTTTCCTAATATGGATATGCTTATAATGCACTTGTTTTAAAATCTCAAATTGCGCAAATATGTTAATATTTTAAGAAACAAAATTAATCCTACAAGGAGAATGATTTTTAATCACACGCAGGGTTGGATCTTAAGAGTGGCCTGCAGAATAAAAAGAACTTTTAAAATAAAGTAGTCAGAGGCTATTCAAAGGGTAAAATAATCATACTATTTCCACTTGACACTAACCAATCAACTATTTTTTTTATCAAGAAAGGTAGATTCTATGAGATAAAATTACTGCTTCTAAAGTGCTTAAATCTAATTATAAAAAGTTATAGAAACTTTTGAAAAGATAAGTAATAGATAGGGTTGGTAGAGGATAAAATCAAAAACAAAACCAAGCAAAAGATGAGTTCGGGGGAGTTTGCCATAAAGTTCTAAAAGAGGAAAATATGAGGTGAACCTTGAAAGATAAATGGAAAGGAAGGAGAAAATGGAGTTCTTTAAGTGGATGTAATTGGAGGAGAAAATGAACACACACATCTTGTCAACTTAACCCCAAACATTCAGCAGCTCTCCTTAGGAGAGCTTTGCACACAGGAGGAGGTTGCCCACTCACCTCCTGTCTCTCACCCCAGGTATTACCTAGAATTATTATCATATTTCCCTTCCATTAAAGTAAATGAGGGTGTTGGGTGACAGTATGGAGAAGTGTGATTTTTTCATTAACCTAATAATAACTGGTATTTATTGAGTTCTGTTAAGCATTTCACATATTGACTCACTGAAGCCTTATGACAACTGTGCAAAACAGGTATTTTTATTATTCCCATTTTACAGGCAAGAAAACTGAGGTTTAAGTAACTTGCCAAAGCGTCATATACAAGGCTTACATTCAGGATGGCAATTGCAAAGCTCATGATCTAAAGTGCTAGGTTGCAATATTGTAATCAGTGTCATAATTATTATTCCTTTTTGTATTCCTTGATATTTTTCCATGGTAAACAAATAGCTATTTCATTTAACAGTCACCTTAAACTTTCCAGCCCTCTGGTTGAAATGAATCCAGAGTGATAGAATGTGTTTTCATGACAGAAATGGCCCAAAAATGGGGGAATGAAGTTCATCAGCATCTCAGATTTTTGTTTGCAAGACTTTGATGAGAGTGTTCATTTTTGTCTACATGAAATCTCAAATCCTTGAGAATAAAAAAGGGAGAGGTTTAAGTCATTTGTTGCAATGCCCTTTTAAATAGAGGAGATAAATCTATAGCCCATACATTAGGAGTGACTTACAGAAGACTGCAAGTCTTCTTTGGGGTGTGGCTTAGTAAGGACCGGAAACCAGGCCCTCCACTTCACTCTCAGTAGCTCTTGCACTAGTCCGCCCTTCCTAAAGTCAGTGTGCAGTGTGCACTTGAATTTTGTCATTGGAAACCATCTATCTAGGTAGTAACCAGATAGTGCCTAATAGATTGTTTCTGTTCTATACTTCTTTGGTTTCCTACCTCAATGTAAAAAATAGCTAGCAATGAAGTCCAGAAGTTGTTAATGGCTCATCCCCCAAAGAATGCATAATGTCCAAAGTCATGTGTATAATGTCTTCAATGGTATTTTTAAGTTGTTTCGAATTCTTAGTTCACATACATAAATCATACTTAACGAGCATCTTCTTAACCAGCTTTATGCACAGTATATGTTTGTAAGTGCTTCTGCACGAATGTTTATATGTGACTGTTTCCATAGTACTTACATTTTTTAAAATATTCAGTCATTTCCTATTCTAATTTTCATGCATCCATGTAACTGACTCAAAATACTTCAGCCATAAAAAGCTAGAACTGAGCAAATCTCATTCTTCTTTTCCATCCCCTTTGCATGTGGCTGGCATTTAGTAATGATTAATAAGGTGATCAGCTGAATAATAGAGGTTCAAGACACAATTCCATCTCAAAGGAGTCAGGTAAGCTGGGTCTACTTATGGATAAACGTCTAAATGTGTGGAAGTATCTGATATTTGACTATGGTAAATTTCCACTTAGCTAGCTCGCATTGTCAGTCTTAGATCTCCTCATGGCTCTGGCCGTCCTGTTTTCAACATGATAACTGATAGCCACAGCTCACACAGTTCTCATTAAGTCAGTTCATAAATAAACAGAGTTTTTTAAAAGAGCAGCCAAGCACAAAGTGTGACTTTGTTGACATTTTATGTGACTTTGTCATGTGTTTCTAACCCCCAATAAAAGCGATGTTGCATCAACTGTGAACTTGTGTTGATTTATTGAAAAAGCATGCTCTTATAAGTTGTTTGTTTCCACTAGTGTATATCAAAGGTAGTTTCAGGATCCACAAGGAACAAGTCACCTAATGTGATAGGAAAATTTAACTGTAGAGACAACTTCTAAAGGATCCCACGTTATCTTTAAATAAAAGGTACTGTCATCTGCCAAGTCAGAAACCAAGGTCTGATCATTGTCTCTTCTGGTTCCACCAGCAATGGTCAATTACTCACGTAATCTTTTGATTTTTTTTCTTCTTTCTGTTATTTAAATATGCCTACATCTCTACATCTATGCTACTGCAGTAAAGAACAACAACCCTAATTTCTCTCCTGGACTTCCTTACCACGCCTCCAGTTTTCTTCACGCTCCAAGGGGCAGCCAGGGAATTCTCTCTGAACCACAAATGTGATTGTATTATTCCATGGCTTCTAACTCTTCACTGACTTCCCATTGCCCCTGAGATATCACGACACCTAAAGCTCTTCATGTCCTCATCCTGGCTCCAATAGTCCTCTCTGGACTCATCAACTCCTCAGTCCCTCTGTGATTCCAGGCTCCTGCCATACACCTGCCTTTTCTTAATGTTCCCCGTATCTTCTGGGCTTTCTCACACACTTCAGCTTCTGCCTAGTACTTTCTCCACTGCACCTTCCAGACTTCATCACTCATCCTTCACATTCCATCCTAGAAGTCATTTTCTCTGGAAAGTTTTCACCCCAGCCTCTACCACCGCTAAGACTAGCTTCCCTACCTAGGGGCGTTCATGTCATTCTGTGCTTACCTCTTGTTAGCACTTACCACCCAGTGTTGTGCTCATATTCAAATATGAGATTCTAGAACTGCACCATTCAACAAGGTAGCCACTCACCATATGTGATGATTTCAATTTAAATTAATTAAGTAAAATTTAAAATTTAGTTCCTCAGTTGCATTGCTCACATCTCAAGTTCTCAGTAGCCACAAGCAACTGGTGGCCACTCTGTTGAACTGAACAGATACAGAACATGTCTATAACTGAGACAGTTCCACTGGACAGTGCTGCTCCAGAACATAAATGCTATGTTTTGCTTGCTATTTTATCCTCTAGACTTGCAGCCCTTTCTTAACTGGGGTTTCTCATGTGAACCACAGAAAACAAAAATATGATTTGAATGATACTTTCTCAATTCTCCCAAGAATGATGTATAAAAAGTACAATGTTATATGCAAAGGAAGGAGCATTAGGGTTCAATTCTAGCATAAAATCCTGATCAGGAAAGTCTATAATAGCCTAGCACAATGCTTGGCATCAAAAGTGCTTCATAAATGTCTGCTGAATAAATATTGCAACTGGACCCTTGAGACAGTTTATTTATTTTCACCTAGATGTGTAGAGTCATGTAGGAAACATGTCTTTAGATTCCGAAGGGCCCCTTCTCTAGAGAATGTGATAGATGATTTTTTAAAAATTTCATCCCAAGGATAGGTGAATGGTATTGCAGCGAAAGATTATCTATTATTTCACTTTCCTTTGATGTTTACACAGACCAAAAAAAAAAAAGAAGAAGAAGAAGAAGAAGAAGAACTAAATTGAGCTCTTATTAAGTGAATGAGATATGAGACGAACGTAGAAGTGATTCAAGTAGGTAGCCGATTTGATATGCTTTTAGGAATTGGCCGAAGTTTACTAAAAATATTAACCATTTACTGAGCACCTGCTATGTGCTGGGCATTTTGTTCAATTTTGAGGATACAGGAAGGGACAAGATGGACACAATTCTCGCACTCATAGTAAATAACATTAATATAATTATTTCAGTTCCTCGCTATATCCAAAAGCAGGAGTTTTAAACCTTGGCAGTACGTTGTAACCACCTGGGGAGTTTTGAAAATACTGATAACCTGGGTCTCTCAAAAGATTATGATTTAATTTGTGTGAGTGTGGAATTTTCTAAAGCTCTCCTGGAGATTGGAATCTGCAGCTAAAGCTGAGAACTATTGATTATGGGAACATAATCTTAGACTGAGCTCAGAAAAGCCAGAGTTTTTGGTTTTAATAGTCCATGGCATATTAGCACTAAAACCATCTGTCTAACACATTTTCATTTGTTCCTCAGAATATCAACTGATACTTAACGGCCACTTAGTTGTCCAGGTCAAACAGCCAGGTCATGACTGAGATAAGACCTGACCCCAGGTTTCCAATTTTAACAACACACTCTTGTTGTTACACTAAACTGTCTCAGGGAAGTGGAAAATAGAATTCTCTTCAAGTGACGAGACAACCAGTATCCACTGTGGTCATAATTTTTAAAAGCAAAATTGAATTGGAACCAAGTCGAATCCCATATCCTCAAATAATTCTGCTAATCAAATGTGAAAATGCAACTCATTAAAAACATCTATATACACATATATATATCCGTAAAGAGGAGACAAAGGAGGCTCACTTCCCCGGGAATCGTAAGCATATCAAATTCAAAAATCTATCTATCTATCTATCTATCTATCTATCTATCTATCTATCTATCTATCATCTATCTAATCTATCTATCTATCTATATCTATATATCTATATCTATATATAAAACTCCACTAGAAGGATATTTTGCCTTTCAACTTGAATTAGTCGGTAGCAGAAATGGTAGTGGGAAGACAAAATTTTAAAAAGCGCATTGTGCTCCCACATTATCTGTCCCCACCCAACTTATTATATGACACTCTATTCCATTTCATATTTCACAGTACAGATAAAATTGACAGTCTGTCCCTATGGGAAAAGTTGACATTAAAAAATAACCACTATAAAAAATAGTTACTTCTCACAGTTACCACCATGCACCACTTTTAGATTCTACTCATAGATCTAGAGAATCCCGGAACTCTGTCATCAAGTCTGCTCTACTCTATCCATATAAAACCACACAGTGAAAATGTGTCATTCCATATTTTAAAGGCACCAGAAGAAAACTAACGTCCACATATTTCCTTCAAAATGCGTTTCAGTGTTTGAGATTCTACACAGTTGGGAAATTCTTATTTCTATTCCAAATCCCTCACGCTATAGTTTAATCCCATTTTCTCTTGTTCCCTGTGGAGAGAAAGAACAGCCAGTCTCCATTCTTTTAAACTCAATCCCTTCATGTCCTTAAAGACAACTACCTCCCAGCCTTCTCTTTTCTGGAATAAATAAGAACAGTTCCCATCAGGAAAATGTTTCTCTTGGATTGTGCATATTCACGGCCATATCACATATATTCATGCTCATCACATAATGCTCATAACTAAAACAAGCCAAGGCCAAGAGCAAAAACAAGCAAATGCATCATTGTTTTCATGAATGAAGTTACAGAACCAATAATAGACACTGAGTAAATTGTTGAAAATGATGATCTTCCAATAATTATGTACCAAAATTATCATAATTTCTTTTAAATGTATTGGCAATGTGTTGCTTTTGGAGAGGTGAATTAAAAATTAAATGATTAGGTTTCAATTTCCTTTATGCAAGTTCTCCCCATGCCCTGCAATGGAATATTCCATTCAGCATTCCACAGCAGGAGCCACCATTGCTTTGACAAAAATAGATACAGTATTGGAACATTCAGTCAATGGAGTAATCCAATTGTCTGAACATTCTTTTCTGCTTTGTCATTTACATTTTAATAAATCCCAGAATATGTCAAGCTGTATCCAGTCGTACCAAGTGTAGCTAACCACATGCAGTTACCAGATGCAATGAGGGAATCATAACATGCAACTCCTACAATGAATCAACATTTGGTTTGTGTGTATTTTTAGGCTCCTACATTTTAAATAGGAATACTCTTAAAAATGAAAAATAGATATTTTGAAAAATCTGTCAGTATATTCAGCTTTCACAAAGGAAACTGTGGACAAAGGGTGCTCTATTTAATTGATCTGGGAATTCTGGCATCTGCTGACCTCCAGGACAACACTATATATAGATAACAACAATGTGGAATGTTAAATTATCTTATGCTTATTTCTCTGCCAGTTTACTGTCTCTCCATTGAGGAGACTCAGATAGTCATATTTTAAAGACATGTGACATTTGACATTCCATGATGTCAAGACTTCAGGCAAACCAGTTCTAAAATATGTGTGTGTGTATAACTTAGTCCATGCCTATAACAGCCACCACGTTTTTCAAGACTTTGACAAATTTCTTACCCTGGCTTATAAGAGCCTAGTGAATTTTTGTAATGGGTTTAGAGCTGGATTGATGATGGAATGAGCCTCAGCATGTTGGGGATCCCTAAGCAGCAGGTACATGCTTAGAGAGGAGGGTTGTCCAAAGATGACATTATTAAGACTAGTCTCTCTTAGTAAAAATCACATGAGACATTGGCTCTAGTTATACCCTTTGTATGTAACTATCTAAGTCACTTACGTTAGCCCATCAGATAAGTCCCATTTTAGGTTTTTCCTCTCAACCTTCTAATTATTACCCTTTAAGACAATGACTGCCAAAAATCCCAGGTTATTTCCTGACATCAGGTAAATCTGATTAGCGTTAAACTTGTGATATACTCAAGGACTAAAAGGAACCATGAAAAAAATTTATTTTTTTTTGCTGGTGCTTAGAGCACTTTAAATGCTTGCAGCAGGGATTGCGAGAAGTGCACCACGATCATTACAATACCCAGGGTTAGGTACTGTGTTGAGGAGACTATATCATAGCTTACCAGAAGTGGGAGGGAGAAAATTAAAAGTCCAGTAGCATTGTAATGCACAAGGGATGCTGGCAGAATTTCTTGATTCCCAGAGTTTTCTCTTACTCTGCTCACAGTGCGGTAGCTGGTAGGTCCAGTAGAAAAGTAGGAACAAGCCAATAGCAGAATAATCGCAGTATCTTGAAGGCCTCCAGGAAAGGACCTCTGCAACTTCCCCATGCACTTAGAGTGCCATTAACACTTGCTCTCATAAACTACTATAGTGACTGGGGTATATGGCTCATTCAATGAACTTGAATTAATAAACTAAGCAATCAACATTAGGGAGAATTTGGGGAGGAATGTTAGCCAGTGAATGTCAAGAGACGTTCAAAGTTCATTTTCATGAATCAAAGGTCCTATGTTCTAGATCTAACTCTATTGATAATTATTTCCTTTACGATTTCTGTAGTAGAGTTAGCTCTTCGGTAAGAAGAGAAACATGGTAGTTAGCTTGTTCTTACTTTACGAAGATTTTGGAAAGTAAATATGGTATAGTGTTTTGAGAAGGTCTTTAGATTACAAACCACTGGCTTTTAAATACCCAGGTTAACAGAGGTGAGCAGGGTGCAGATGTTATAGAAAATGAGTATGGTTTTCAGAATGTGCTTTAGATCCTTTCTTCAGTCAAATTCCCTTTTTAATTTCAGGTTCATAGACTTTTGCTGATGCAGAAGTCACAAAAGCTATCTAGTCAAATTCCCATCTTCTGCTTGAATTTTCTATGTTAGCTTATCATGGACCACATTTCTGATCAGCAGTTCCATCTTTGGACAACTCAGATCATTTGAATACATTTTCTTTGTATTGAATCACAAGGGCCTCTTTCATTGTTCCTTTTTTACCCTTAGGAGATATAGTGTAAGTCTAATCTCTCTTCTATATGTCAGTCGTACAGATATTTAAAAGAAGAAATCATGTTCCTTCCAGAGTTATTTTTCTCTGGGCTGCACACACTTAGCACTCTCAGTCATTCTTCCCATGCCATTATTTCACATACTTTTGTCATTCTTGTGAGTCTCCACACTCCAATTGGTTTGGTTGCCTTGTTAAATGTACTACTCTGAATTGAATGCATTTTTCTAGATGTGGACTGACAAAGCGGAAGAAATGTGTGATGATCACCTTTAAAACTTTTTTCCCTAAGTTCTGGATTTCTGGAAATAAAACTCATATTAATCTTTTTAGCAACCATCTATCAATATTGATTCATCTTATCTTACTATCTATAAAAACACTTGTCTTTTCTATATATGCTACTGTCAAACACTATTTCCCTCATCCCAAAATTCAGCTCATCATTCCATCTCCCAATATCTTTTTATCCTAAGTAAGATATCTGATAAATTAGATTTTTTTCAGAATCATTTTATTCAGATGTTTGACTCATACTTACTCAAAAGAGATCATAAGAAGTTTAGTGAAGTCTCATACTGAAGTTAGGATTCTAAATGTCATTACCCAAAACTATCAGTCTAATAGCTTCCAAAAAAATAAGTGAAGTTAGTCTGGCATGGTTGGTTTTGTTGGTTCGTTTTAGTTGGCCTCATATTTGCATGTTTTGTTTTGTTTTAGTAACTACTGATGCTACGAAGAAGCTATCTAGATAAATGATGGATAGCTCGGGAAGGTTGTTCAAGGATCAAAATTTTGCTTCAGGTAATTACAAAAAGGCAACATTCTGTATGTGAATAATTGAGATTATCATAGTGCATACACTGATGTTTAAATAACTGGATTTTTCTTTTTCTTGCTATCTTATTGGGTTGATAAATATCCTTCCTTGAAAGAGGAGATTTAGGGTAAAGCAGAGTAGGAAATCTTTTGCCTATAGTATGTATGGATATTAATATGTCTATATATCTTCAAAACTTACCTATCCCACAAAATAAAGTAAAAGCAAATGTGATTTAAAAATACGTAGTTTTGGTTTCTCACTGTAGCAACAATCCTCTACATAAGGTAGGTATGATCTGGCACCTATTCAAGGGGGTTATCTACCAAAGTGCCTAAAGAAACTAATAGTAAGGAATTTCAATTAGAATTCTTAAAATGAATTGAAATTCATGAAAAAGCAGTTCCACAATCTGGCTCCAGAGGACAGAATTTTCAGCAAGGCTCCAATGTACTATGCCATTGGATAGTGGTGTGTATTTAGTCATTGAAAGCACCCTTTTCATTCCTGCCCTCACTCCTGTGCTGAGAGTTGGTGATTCTTTCTCTGTACTCCATTTGCTTTTGCCCTTCCCTCTTCCCTTTTTTCTCTTTCCTTTTCTCATTGGTATTTCATCTTTCTTTTTTTCACTGATTTTCTGAGAAGTCATGATTCTTACCACTAGCTATGGATTATTGTCATATTTTTTTGAGACAGAGTCTCGCCCTGTTACCCAGGCTGGAGTGCAATAGGACAATTTCTGCTCACTGCAACCTCTGCCTCCTGGGTTCAGGTGATTCTTCTGCCTCAGCCTCCCAAATAGCTGAGATTACAGGCATGCGCCACCATGCCCAGCTAATGTTTTGTATCTTTAGTAGAGATGAGGTTTCACCATTTTGATCAGACTGGTCTTGAACTCCTGACCTTGTGATCTGCCCTCCTCAGCTTCCCAAAGTGCTGAGATTACAGGTGTGAGCCACCGCTTCTGGCCAATTATGGATTATTTAAGAGCCATTACTATTTGAATTTGGTGTACATATTTGGCTTTACTTCTTATGCTACTGTTGTTCCCTTAAGACTTCATTTGCTTAAACCAATGTTAAAATTACAACTACGGCTTCATGTAGGAATTCATATGGATTCTGTTCTCTCCTTAAAGAAAAGGAAAAAGGAAAGAAAGGAGCCCTTCTAGATGGTTTCTATGCTTTTTCCCTGAGTTACTTGCATACTTTCCTCTTTTGCTATCTGGTTTCTTTGACGGGGGAGAATATTTAATTCTAAAAGGCTATCCCAACCCTTCTTTTCTATTTCAGTGAGTAGCACTACTCACTTTCACTGTTCTCCTCAAGACCACTCCTCCTGCTCACCAAGTGGTTCTTCAACTAGGCTGTGTATCAGAATCACCCTGGAGAACTGGTAAATCACAGACTGCTAGATCTCCTCCAGAATTACTGATCCTGGAAGTATGGGATAGAGGTCTGGGATTTGCATTTCTGACGAGTTTCCAGGGGTTGCTGCTGTTGTAGGTCCTGGGACCACACTTTGAGAATCATTGCTTTAATTCTAAACCAGGACTTCATCCTTCCTCAACCATTTCTTCCATAGGATTAATAATCCCGGTTCTTTCTTTTTTTTTTTTTAAATACCATCTATTTCCAGAACCCTTAACATCAGGGTAGCTTTCTTTCAACTGCTTCCAAATCTATCCTTAGCTGGATGGCCAGAACTAGATACAGGACCATAGGTAACTCTGATGTAATAAAAATACAAACTCATTATATTTTAATGACATATTTCTCTCAAAGAGTTAGAGCAACATTTTAAAAAAATCTGTTATTTAGTTATTCTACCTAATATTCATCTGATGTTATCTCATTTTGGTAAAGGAAATATTTGGGGTAGGAATATTGAGCAGGTAGCACGAAGACATTCAGGACAACACTTGAACTCTGCTTTCCTGAATCCTAGTTCACAAGGCTGAATTTTTGGAGAATTTTTGTAAATTTTAAAATCCAAATTCCAGTTTAGTTCATTGAAACAAGGTAAACTGCTTCAACCTAATAATACACTGTTTAAAAGAAAAATTCGCTTGATTTTGAATCCAAATTGTTGTTGGCTGTTCCTGATTTAAAGAATTCTCTTCAAATACTATGAAAAACTCAAAGTCTTTTACTTCGACCTTTATTTTATCTTATTTTAATTAATTAATTATTTTTTTTTATTGAGACAGAGTCTCATTCTGTCACCCAGGTTGGAGTGTAATGGCGCAATCTTGGCTCACTGCAACCTCTGCCCCCAGGATTCAAGCAATTCTCCTGCCTCAGCCTGCCGTGTAGCTGGAATTACAGGCACGAGTCACCACACATGGCTACTTTTTGTATTTTTAGTAGAGATGAAATTTCACCATGTTGACCAGGCTGGTCTCGAATTTCTAACCTCAAGTGATCCCCCTACCTCGGCCACCCAAAGTGCTGGGATTATAGGTGTGAGCCACAGTGCCTGGCCTCTAGATCTTTATTTTTATGACCACAGGTAGTGTCTTTACACTGTGATCCTACCTTTGGCTTTCAGTTTGCTGAGCATATTAATGTGGGTGCAGTGTGTCCCAAAATTTTATCTCTTGTAGTAAAATAGCCTTCTACCTCTATACGTTGATTATGACATTGTTACACTGTTTCTAATCTTGCTATTCTCAAGATAATTAGGGATCTCTACATTTATCATTTACTTGATTTTATGTACATATTTCCACCTACAAAAATAAGAAATAGAGATTAGAGGGAAAGCAGTTTCTCCACCTACCAATTTTACTATTTACATGATCTCAAAGTCCTTTAGCTCCTCAAGCCCATGGTCCCCTTTCTGCTTTTCTTACATCCTGTCTTGTCTTCCTGTCATGACAAAAATAAAAAAAAAAAAAAATGAAGCGTCTGACAGCTTATAAGGCCATAAAGCTGGATTAGATAGGTTTTTAAGGGTCCTATTGTTTGCCCCTAAACCATTATTGCAAAAGTGAAGGGCTCCCACTGTTCCACTGACACACAAATTGCCATCAGCAAGGTATTAGGAGGAATCTCATTTATTACCACCAAGGAAATAAATAACACCAATGGACTGAGTGTCTTTCATCCAAATTAGACTAACCAAATCAATTCAAATCATTAGAATACATTATATTCAATTAAATATAAATCTGCCTTGTAAATAGCCACTTACCTGCTTGCCCAGAGCAATGTAATGCTTTATGCTAAACTAACAGTTTAAAAAATTATAGAATTGACTGGCAAAATATTTTAATGAGTTGTTACAAATTTTTTTACTTAATTCATTCAATAAACATTAATTTAGGACCTACTATGCCCTGGGAATACAAAGATGAATAATACATAATCCTTGTTGTCAAAGCACTCACCTCATTAGGGGAAACAGACATGTAAAGAAATGCTGATCCTTAGTAACATTTTGTCTCTGGAAAATTGATGGTGTGAATTTCTGCCTGATTCAAGTCTGGTGGGGAGCTGTAGGACGATGAAAAGACTCAAGGAAATATCTAGAGGAAAGTAAAAGATGAAAATTTGAGAGAGACTGCATAAAGGATTGTGTCCAATGCCTTCCAGTGGACATGTAAATACAGGTTTAAGTTAAGTTGAATATAACGAAGAAGATAGGCCTGTGTAGGAGTGGTGAACATGGTATTCCAAAGACAAATAGAAACAACTTTCTGATTCTCAAAAAGTCGAGTTACCTGTGATCCCATTCCATCTATTCTTAAGGATTATTATAGCAAATACACTAAAAACATATTTGCAGGGGACTCACTAGCAATGGGGAAAACACATTCTTTGACTTATGCTTCTATCCCCTAGATAGTCCATTTAGTTAAGTAATAATATGTTCTTTCCTTTATATATCAAGCTTTAACTCATCCACATTTAGGTGAAGACATATGTTAAAGACACACAGGGAGCCACCCACACTTTCCTTAAATAATGGCCCTGTTCTCTTTAAACAATGGCATTTGGTAGGTGGCCAGCTGGACTTAGGCTGGACTATCTGAGATCATGGTACATAGTGAGGACCAAGTGTTTGCAGAGTAGAAATTAACTGATCTATATAAGGATTGAATTTACAACATCTTGAATGCCAAGCCCAAGCCAGCTAATTATAGAATCAAACTACGTAAGAAGTTATCTTCTTCATTTTAGGTTTTCAGTATCTTCTTTGAAAAGGCACATTACCCTCTGAATCTCTTAATTGAGATTAAATGCTGAGTTTGAGAACCCCCCGTCTTCGCACCCGCATGGTGGGACACTGGGGCCTTTTTTAGACCTTTAAGAGAAAGGAGGTTCAACAGTGAGGTATCAAGTTCATTGACTGTACAACCAGGTTGACTCCAGAAATGAAATAACCTTAAAACCAATGCTGAGAAAAATGTTAGAAGTCGCTTTTGAACCCTAAAAGAAAGTCATATAAAAAATAAGTTACCTTCTTCCTGGGTCATTTATTTTTAGCTTTTTGATTTGTTTCCATTTTCATCCGTACTCACCATCCTGTATTGTCCAAGGTGTTTTGCAATAATTATAGATTATTATTAGCCAATAACCATGAATTCACCTTTTTACCCGATTCTTCAGTTTATATGTTCTGTCTAGAGAATTTTTTAAATTTTGCTATCAGGTTCTGCATATCGGCATTTCTTGTGTGTGTGTGGACAGTTTTCGATCAGAGCATTGCTGAGTTTTCATTGGCCAGTTTGCTTATGGTCTGAATGCCAGTCAGTAATGCCCATTCACAAGCGCATGGGATGAGGCAATCATGCTTGCAGTGAGGAAGTCTCTCTCACCCGTTTTACTTTGTATGTAGTTTATAATCACTTTTTCTTGCATCTGGCTAAATGTCTGACCATGTGAATTCCCACGAATACTAAAGAGCAAGTGTCCCAAATATGTGCACATTTTTATTGTATAATTGATTCAAGTGACTGCTCTGTAAATAAGATGTTTGC